TCTGCAGCAGGGACAGCTCATTAAAATCAACTGCCTCTTGCTTTAGATCGTTGACATTCGTTCTGTGCTGGTCATTGGCCAGCTCCTATTTCGCGGTGTCCGTTCCAAACCGGTAAGAGACTGTTCTATTCCAGATGATTCAGAAGCTGGAGCCAAGCGGCCACGCACCACCATCACAGCCAAACAATTGGAGACGTTAAAAAATGCCTATAAAAACTCGCCCAAACCCGCCAGGCACGTGCGGGAGCAGCTGTCCTCGGAGACAGGACTGGACATGAGGGTGGTGCAGGTGAGACCGCTGCGGTTGAAGTGTTTTTCCCGACCAAGCCAAGCTGCAGTGAGTGCACACCGCTCCTCTTTCAGGGCATAACCTCTGCACTGAATTCCAAGGGAGGAGGGAAGGAAGCCAGGCCAGGAAAGCTGACTAAGCAGTAAGCCTTTGCCCCCCTTCTGTGACTGACAGCCCCTGGCTGGCCTGCTGGGCCTGTGAACTGTCCCTCTGACTTTCCACCGCCTCAGTCACCACCCAGGATCCGGGCCAAGGAGTTAAATTTCCCTTCCTAGCAATGAGGAGAGAATTCGACACCAGTCTGCAATGCTAGCAATAGAGGGGCACTGCATGTTTGGGTGCATATGCCAAAGAGATCCTCTAGGGGGCAGGAGGCGACAGCCACTTTAGGGGGCTGAATAGTGCATCTGAGCCTGGCTGCAGCCCTGCATCTGGGCCTTGGGCCATTTCTAGAGACCGCGTCCAACCTGGAACCCCTCAGACTAGGGCCAAGCTCTGCTCTGAATCCACAGACCTTGGTGCCCTAAGCTACAGAGGAACCAGGCTCCTGGGTCTGAACCATTTGAATCTTTGGGGAGGTTGGGAGCCAGCCCTGCATTTTTCTGCATCTTTTTCTCTTTGCCCCGCTCCGGTCAGTGCCTCCTGGGACTCCGTCTCTCCCTTTGTTGCTCCAGGTCTGGTTTCAAAACAGGAGGGCCAAAGAAAAACGGTTGAAGAAGGACGCCGGGCGGCACCGCTGGGGGCAGTTCTACAAGAGCGTGAAGAGGACCCGCGGGGGCAGCAAGCACGAGAAGGAGAGCTCGGCTGAGGACTGTGGGGTTAGTGACAGTGAGCTGAGCTTCCGAGGTGAGCGGGGCAGGAAGGTCCGGGAGGGGACTGGGATGATACGCGTGGGCCCGGGAATCAGGGATGATTCCTGAGGAGTGCCTGGATTTCTCTTGCACCAGAAACGGGAATGGGCCTTGAAAGCCATGTCCCCGCTGACAACATTTTAATTAATCTCCTGGCTGGTGGTTCCTTGGGATTTTTTGCACACGAGGAAAACAATTGATTATCATCCTGTGTCATGCAGGGCTGCAAACCCCTGTAGCAATGGAGCTAGGAACTGACACGCACTAAGGCCTCATCTCCGCTTACCAGGAGATCGACCCTGCAGAGATCGCTCTCCTGGGGGTTGATTTAGTGGGTCTAGTAAGGACATGTTAAATCAATCGCTGATTGTGATCTCGTTGACTCCACCGGGTCACAAGGAGTAAGGGAAGTTGGCAGGAGAGTTTCTCCCATTGTCCTCCCCCCCATGGGGATGCTGTGGAAATTCCCCCTGAGGTACGTCGATGCCAGTGGTGCTATTTAGTTCGACTTTGCCCCCAGTGTAGACCTGGCCTTGGGGTGTGTCAGTCCTGAGGTCCAGTGACAGCTCTGCAGCTTATGGGGGAACTTACCAAGGAACGAACTGCCGGGCTGGCCTAGACCAATGGCCCCTCCGGCGGGGGATGGTAGCCAATGCATGCAGGCCGGGAGGAGCGACTTCAGGGTGCACCTTACTGTGTAATATGACAGTATGAGGGGACTTATCTCCGCATCCCCACTGGTCCCTCCCCAGGCGCACGAGGGCCGATCGCCCTTGGAGTTTCTGAGCTAATGGCCGTGGCAGAGTGATTTGGACCTGCAGGAAGAGCTAGGCTGGCTGCAAACTCACCTGCCTCAGTTGTTAGACTCCCACTCGGCCCAGCGTCCAGACACCAGCTGCCGCCTCCGGGCTGGCAACGCTCAGTGGCCCCGGACCCTCTCCTGAGACAGCTGGCACTGGACGCAGGGGGGCCAGTGTCTGGTTTCTGACTGGAACGTCCGGCTCTGGTCAGCACCAGTGACCGACGTGCCCTGCCTGTCCGAGCGCCACATGGCTCCCATGTAGCAGCTGATCAGTCTTAGGCATATGGGGGGCTGGGAAGCTCCACACGGTGCCCCTGCCCTGAGCTCTGGCTCTGTAGCACCCGGCTGGGAACCACAGCCCAAAGACGTTGCAGGGAAGGTGCCTGCGGGTGCAGGCAGTGCACGGAGCGTCCCTGGACCCCTGCCTCGGAGCTACAGGGACCTTCCTGTTTTCTGGGAGCTGCCTTAGGCAAGTGCTGCTCAGACCCTGCTTCCTCCTCCCGTCCTCCAACCCCTTGTCCTAACCCCGAGCCCCTTCCTGCACCCCAAACTTTGGCTCCAGCCCAGTGCCCCTCCTGCACCCCAAATGCCTCATCCCTCCAGAGCCCGCACCTCCAGCTGGAGCTCTCACACCTGCAAGTGCCAGCCTCCTCCTGCACCACCCCCAGCTAGAACCCTCCGTCCCTCCTGCACCGAGCCCCCTCCTGCACCCCAAGTCCCTCAGCCACGCCAGAGCCCACCCCCCAACTGGCACTCTCAACCCGCCTGCACCCCCCAACTGGCACTCTCCACCTGC